ATCCTGACTATGCAGAGGCCTCACCTAAATCGAAATTAACAGAAAGTTGAAAACGTGAGTAGGAAAATGAGAGCCAGACCCTGACGAGGTTGAGGCAAGTGATTCTCCGGCAGTACAAGATTTAGGGAGATGCGCACTCAGGGTTGTGCAAATACAAGGCAAGGCACTCTTTTAACGTGGCACACTAGGCACTCAATTGTCTCACCCCTGCTCATGAGGGCAGGTTGCTTATCATGAGGCCACTGGGAATGTTTGTTTAAGTTACTCAGACTCTACTCCCGCTGTGTATTTTTTCTTCCTATGTCATGATACCTCCATGCCATGGGAACCCAGGACATGGGAGAACTTTGCGGACCACACCAAACTAAAAATAACTAGCACATTTATTTCAATGGTGATGAGAACACAAACAGTCCCCACTTTGCCAGTGAATAAAATTAGAACGCTAATATTACCTAAATGACGCACTATGGAAAATTTTCCACCTGCAGCCTTGCAAAGGGCTAGTCTCTCAAACAGGGTGGTGAAGCCAGTGGGTGGAAGAGGGTAAGAGGCAGGACTTGCCTCTCTGGACATTGCTGTCACTCCTTCAGTGTAATGGTTGAGAGGAGCCAGGGCAATGTGTGGAATTCGGGGAAAGCATTAATGTGGTTACACTGTGATCTTCACTTTGTAAAACATTCTGCTTTTCCCAAAACTTTTGCGAACATTTCCCATGCATCATGATGTTACATAGCTCAGGGGAGGCAATTTAAAAGATGCCGTACTCTCTCAGGTTTGCACAGAGAAGGACTGAATAAATAAATCATTCAGCGCTGCTCTGGATCTTTGTTCAGTCAGGTTTGTCCTTGTAACACATCATGGGCTGAGTGACCCATGTTCCACCTCCAAAGGGCTTTTTGCAAATCCTTTTCAAAGCTGTCATTTGATTCACTGCCCATGAGAAGGGCATTGGCAATGGCCACATTATCCAGACTAAATGCTGTGTTGTTGAATTTTCTGTGTGCGT